GGCTCTCTGCCTAGACCCCACCAATCGAAATTCCTTGACTGGTGGGGTCTGCAACCTGCCCTTTCTGCTGGACTGAGTGGGGCGGGTGGAAATATGCTATTCCCACAGTTTATTTAAATAGTTAGTTGGGTGGGCAATTCTTACAATGGCTGTATTGAGGTGATGTAGAATGAATTCTGCTGCTGATTGTGATTTTATGTTTTTTTAAATTGATTATGGATAGTTTTTATATGTTTGTATATTGGCTTTTAACCTGTTTTTAATTGTTTTTACCTGTTGTGAGCCACCCAGAGTCCCTGAGATGGGCGACCAGACAAATCGAATAAATAATAATAGTAAGTTTGTTCTTGACATAGCCATGCTGATAACGGTCACATTATTTTCACGGTGCCTACTGACTAGTTACTTTATTATCAGCTCCAAAATCTTCTCAGGCACCAATGCTAGATCCTCTTTTCCCCCCTTTTTGAAAATATAAACATCTGCTGTCCTCCAAGCATCTGGTACTTCACCAGTTCTCCAAGCCTGCTTTAAGATAACACATAAAGGTTCAGCCAGACGATCAGCTAGTTTCTTTAGTATCACTTCTTGGCCTTTTGGCTAAGATCAAGTGTAGTATCTGTTCTTTCAATTACCCTAGAATACAATAGACAAATTCAAAATAGATAGGAATTTCTCTAACTGTGCTTCTGTCAGTCTCAAACTTCAGTCCTGCGTTTTCATCCTATACTTCACAAGTGTCTGTTGGAACACATGCCCTCCTGGTGGTGAAGAGTGAAGTAAAATTTCTTTGTTATTTGTAAGTATTTTGCCATCTTTACTGAGTAGCTAGTTTATTGTTTATTGTTTTCATTTAGAATGTTTCTAAAGAAGCCCATTCTGTTGTTCTTGGCATCCTTCACCAATCTCAGTTCATGTTAGCTTTCGGGTTTCTCACACATCTCTACAATTTCAGACTACCTATAGACAGGCATACCTCGTTTTATGGTGCTTCACTTTATTGCACTTCGCAGATATTGCATTGTTTTTTTTTACAAATTGAAGGTTTGTGGCAACCCTGTGTCGAGCAAGTCTATCAGATGATGATTAGCATTTTTTAGCAACAAAGTATTTTTTAATTAAGGTATGCACATTTTTTTAGACATAATGCTATTGCACGCTTAATAGACTATAATATAGTATAAACATAACTTTTATATGCACTGGGAAACCAAAAACTTTGTGTGACTTGCTTTATTGTGATATTCACTTTATTGCAGTGGCCTGGAACCGAACCCGCAATATCGCTGAGGTACGCCTGTACGCTTTTCCTTGATGGACTCTCCGTTTTTCCACCTCATTTATATCCTTATTTATTTTACTGGGGCTTATATGCTGCAATCCAACAGGATTCCATTTTTAGTTTTTCAGTAAGCTTTTTACTGCAGTCTCACTGGCTTCTTCTGTTGTCTTGCATTTTTTTCTTCATTGCATTTCTTGTAATTGTGTTTTTAATATCTTCTTTTTTAAAAGGAACTTCCACCTAAATTGAAGTCTTTTCCCTATTAGTTTCTCTTGCTATGGAGTTATTGCTCTGAGTTTATTAAAATCTACTTTTTTGAAATTCAAGAAATATGTTTGACCATGCACAGTTGTATTTTTGCTAGACCTAGTGAGGCGTAATCCATCCAATGTCAGTAGCCCAGATAACTCAGGCCATGATCCCAGAAACCAGTTCTCTCTTGTCAATACCATCTGGACAACAAATCATTCAGTCACAATATTTTTCTCTCTTCTGAACCAAAAGGTTGAAAATGAAGATTCATAAACTAATTAACATTTAATAAAGTCTAAGCCTTTATTGAGATTACCTATTTACTTACTACATTTGTATGTTCCTCATTCCTGAATGCTCTGAGCAGGTAACAATCAAAACATCATTTTAAAAAATCTCTTGAATAAAAAGAAATACCTCCCCCCATAAAAAGTAATTAAAAAATTCCAACAGCATTGTAAGGAACTAAGGAAAAACATACAAAGTCAGGTGTCTATCACTGCATCCCATCATTCATAGCATGCCTTCCACCTGGGCCAAATGGAAAAGCCAGGTCTTAACAGTTCTCCTGAAACCCAGGAAGGAAGGAGTAGACCGTGTCTCTATATGAATTCCCAAAGCCTAGAACACCTATTGAAAATATCCATTTCCAGGTTCCATCAGATGCAGTCTCAAACGGATCTGACTTGAATAGAGTTGACCCTGTTTGATCTAAACAGTCTGATGGATGAACAATATAGCATTGTAAGCAATCTCTTCACAACACATTTTTGAAGCAAAGAAAAGAATTCTGCAGGCTGAAAACTCATTTATGCTATAAAAAGATAAGATCCAGGTTTCATCCAATTTTTTCCATAACCTTAAGCACATGATAAATATCTTTTATTTTTTTCAGAAAGATGCAAATTTAGTAATTATGAGTACATAACTTCACATAATAGTGGAGTATTAATTTTGAGTCCAACCACAAATAAGGCAAAATAGTAAGAATGCTTCAAGTGTTCTACAAAATACGATAGAGCATCCTATCAGATGCATAGAGCATAGGATTTGGCATGAGTCCAGACTTATTATTGTTCTCCCAAAGCAAAAAGCACTTTACTTCCTCTGTTCCACCATAATGAAGCACTGTTTTTTGTATAATTTACAATTTTTACCCATTACTGGAAGTTCATAATTAAATTGAAAAAGCCTAATCTTTTCTGCCATCTGTCCTGTGACAACTGTTTTTCTCAATGTCACATGCATAAACTGAAGTTGAAGCTATGTGATGTCCATCTCAGGTTCTATCACATGGATCTCCTGCATCTCTGTAATCACACTACATTGTATGCTTTGCCAGGAGTATGTGACATACAAATGTGACAGATAAACAACAGCCATTACTGAAATATGGTACCCTATTCTAACATACAATACCTTCTTCACTTAACTGGTTTCAACACATTTGGAGTATACATTCCTTAAACCTTTTAAAGTGAGAATTTATACCATGGCTCAACCTACTATTTAGAGCAGCTTAAATGGATTTCTTAGTGCAAATAAGGCTAAAGGGCTCATAGTGGTGTCTTCTAGTTTTGCTGGGTAACTGAATATGCCATTACTAATCAGATCTATTTCATCCAAATAAACAGAGAACTTCACCAGCAAAATACCCAGCCCTGCAAGAAAACAATTGCTACTGTAGCCAAACATCAGGCTTGTTTTTTCCCTTCACTTATATGTCAGAGAGATCCCTTCACCGAGTACAGAGGTAATGGGGGGAAGCATTTTGAGGAGATGAAATAGCACCCCCATACTCCTATTTATTTCTCATTTATTATCATATCCATTAAAAAAAAACATTATATAGGAAGAATGCATAGTACAACAAAATATAAAAAACACACCTACTGACATCTGCCCTTATTTGCATATGGCTAGTCTAAATGTTTGAAATAAAAATCTCTTTTTTTATATAGGAAGTGTAACAAAATGCTTGGCACACTTAGCCTTAGGGATATTCACTGCTTTGACCACAGGAGAGGGGATATTAATAGGCTGATTTGTGCCTATCCGGAAGGCACTGGTGGGGAATCAGAGGATCAGAAATAATCTAGCTACAGAGCTGAGTGCCTAGCCAGACTGGGCTCAGCTGTTGGTAGCTATCTGCAGAGCTACATGAAACATGCAAACATGAAATTAAAGTTTCTCATGGATTGCACTTCAGGCATTCTAAAAAGGATCTTGACCCCAAATATCCCAAGTAACCATGATGCTGATACTTTTTGAAGAACTGATCTTATAACTCTTTACCAGGAGCACATTTAACATTTGTTTGAGTTCTTTAAGAGTTCCCTTTGTATCACTTTGTATCTGTCAGGTCCAGCCCAAGAACAATAATGAGGCAATCCAGTCCAGTACAGTTCCTTTATTAGCTTGCACCTAATACACAGAGTCTCGCCAGACTAAACCTATGCTAAAGCAACTAGTGGATATACCCTGTGAGACTTGGGGGGGGGGGGCTAGCCTCATCCTCTTTCTCTTCCCACGCTCTAGCTGTGAACTGAGAAAGCGCTTGCTCTGGAATGTTCCCGCTCCCTCCTGATAACCTTGATCCTCCATTCCAGTATCTTCCTCGCTCAAGCTTTCCATTACATCATCTTTTTAAATATCTTTAAAAAGATATTTTGTATTTAGCAACTGCTTAAAACCAATTGATGTTTAATTTATCTTTGTTGTTGGTTTAATAAAATTTCACTGTCCACATTTTTGAAATCATTGAAATAACCATACAAGTCAAGATCAGGATAAGCTTTATTTGCACCCGTGTAACTCAGAACAAAATTGTTCTCAACTGCTTAAAACCAATTGATGTTTAATTTATCTTTGTTGTTGGTTTAATAAAATTTCACTGTCCACATTTTTGAAATCATTGAAATAACCATACAAGTCAAGATCAGGATAAGCTTTATTTGCACCCGTGTAACTCTTCCTTCTCAGTATGCTAAAATTAATCCTGGAAATCTTTACAGATTCCATTTGAGTTTTGAAGAGCAGAATCAAAAGAAGCTAGGATCTTACACCAACTAGAAAACCACGAAGTAAAATCCTGAACTGCTTAAAACCAATTGATGTTTAATTTATCTTTGTTGTTGGTTTAATAAAATTTCACTGTCCACATTTTTGAAATCATTGAAGTAACCATACAAGTCAAGATCAGGATAAGCTTTATTTGCACCCGTGTAACTCTTCCTTTTAATTTATCTTTGTTGTTGGTTTAATAAAATTTCACTGTCCACATTTTTGAAATCATTGAAGTAACCATACAAGTCAAGATCAGGATAAGCTTTATTTGCACCCGTGTAACTCAGAACAAAATTGTTCTGAAGCTTAATGAAGACTTCCTGGCTTAACTTAGCATAGCAAAACAATGAAGCAGAAAGAAGAAGCTCAAGGATGGAGCACATGGGCAAAGATTTCATACGTATCTCCACTTATTAATCAATTCTCAGACAAACTGGATCTTTGAAAAATAAGAAGTTGCAAGTACATCCTTAGTTCTGCAGAAAAATGGGTAGCATGAAACATATTGCAAATTTTAAAAAAACATTTAAAATTCAAAAGTTTTACAGTTCTTTAGAATGTAACATCCTCATCCCTTCTTTACAATAGGAAAGTCACTGATGTCATCAGAACTTTACCTGCCCTTTTAAGAGATTTAACTCCTCCATCCCAAATTCCAGGATGTTGACCTAACTTGAAAAACAATATACTCTTCCCTGAGTTTTATTACATTATCTAGATTGGAGAATACTTGAATCAGAAATAGTAGTCACTGTGGTACCCTATTTACTAGCAATCTATGGTTAAAAAAACAAAATACATAGAATATCAAAGGATGAAATACTATCAAGCAATTGTTTCTGAATGTTTAGAGAACTGAGGTATGGACTTGTCTATAGCTCTGAGAAGAAGCCATGGACTATGAACTAGGAAAAAAGAATGTCATCCACTGTACTGCAGAAGGTCTGCTAATCATATATACAGTATGATATCTTCCTCTAGAATGTTGTTTATTCTTTTTTTGTAAACCCAAAATTCTCAACCTTTGTGAATCTAATTCACATGTAACCAAAAGTGTTCCCATAAGAATTATCTTGCTGTTCTTATTCATGATACCTGCTAGAAACACTCCAGCTCTTTTCCCACCATTCTTCACTTAAGATCTATTCAAAGCTATCACTAATTTCTATTTTAAATGACTTTCACCCCTGGACTCAATTTTTATCACCCATTCTCACACACTTCACACTCTTTTCCATACTTCATCTCTACTGGGCTGCTTTATACTTCTCCCTAATTCTTTTCATTGTTGTTGCTGCCCTCACCATCTCAATCTTAAGCTCCTTCCAGACACAGGAACAGACTCTCTTTGTCCCCATAACATTGTGGGGTTTGTCAAAGACTTGGGAAGCCAAGCTGATTAATTATTGATTCAGCTTCTGTTTCAGAAGAAATAACACAACTGTATGCAGTACTTTTATGCACAGTAATTTTATGCACACAAACTGAATACTGAATACTCTACAAAATCCAGACAAGCAGGAACCATCAAGGTGTCAGACACTTTGAAATTCCAGACACTTCAAAGTCAGATTTAAATTGAAAGTAATTTTATGCACACTTTAGTTAAGAGGTATAACACATAATGAAAACTGTTCTGCCCTACAATAAAGTTTGCATATGAAGTTCAGGGTAAAACTAAATACTATGTCAGTACCCATACACAGTACCAAAGAGCCACTGATTTCAGTTAGGCAAAATATCAGTATGGAAGATCAGAAAGCAAGCAATGAGTTTATCAGTCCACAGAGTGGAATAAAAGTGCACTTACCCCTGAAAATCAGTATCAACAAGAAGCCTGACTAAAATTCCTGTCACAGCCACAAGGATTGGATAGTGGTCTACGCTTTCCAGTCCTACAGAAGAAATCAGAATTCAGAGTAAAAATCAACAATAATACAGACTTTCCCAGAGCTTCCTTTATGACTCCTGGGGGAGCCACAGATGAGGACCAACTAGCATAGATCCTCACCAAGTAAAATCACCACCTAAGAAATTAGAATGTAATTACTGGTCATGTTAATCCAATTAGGGATTTGTTTTAATTCATCCAACAGCTTCATCAAGTCTTTAGCAAAGCACCAGAGGCCAGCCCAGCCCCTTTTCATCTCTGTTTTGAGCTACACATATACACAAAAAAGATAAAACAATCCCTTCCTCACAAATTTTAACAGGCAAGCAAGAACACTATAGAGAGCACTTTGTCTTCACCAACGCCAGTACTTGATACCTAGCGTTACAAAGATACGTGAAAAAAACTGCAAAAATATGGATGTGTGTCTAGTTTTCCAATTTTGCCACAGCATTCTTCAATTTTTCAAGCAACATAGATTCTTCCCTGGTGTTCAAATACCCAGAATTTTCTTAATCCATGACCTCACTTGATGGCATGCCTGAAAAAGTGAGTTTTTATTCCATTTCTTTATAACTATAGAGTTAGTTGATGCATACAAACTAATTTCACTTAAACCCCACATATCAGTATGCCCTGCACTTCCTATATAGATGCCTGAGCTGGGTGTATGAGGTTATACCTCAGTGGAAGAATAAAAAGTCATGTTCTCCAAAATTTAGCATTCTCATTTACTTTAGCACAACATTTCTTCAGATTGTAATGGAAACATTACAAGAAATGTAATGCATTTTCTTGATACTGGGAAAGAAAATGCACATCCCCCAAATATTCAAGAATAACAGATGGACATTTTTGTGGCATCAAATAAGCAATTAGCATCTTCTCCATTAAAACAAGACTCAATTAGAAATATCAAAGACAAGAGGAGAACCCTGCATTAAAGTACTTGCTGATGAATCGCGTGTCCAAGATTCTGTAACCTAACTCTTTTCCCCTTGCAATAAACCTGCCAACCAGGAGAATATTGCTTTCTTGTTTGTGAACTGCTATGAGGGGCTTGACAAGGATGCTGTATATTTAGAAATATATCTGTTCTAGAATACTGCAACTACAATACTAACTATGCACTATGAATTCAAACCTACGGCAGAGAGATGAATGAATCCATCAAAGAATGGGAAAGTACGGAGACAGGTGAATCTTGTCAAGGCCTTTCCACTCACAACCTGCATTTTCATGCAGAAGAACTGAGCCCTTGTTCCACAGGAAGGAAATAAGGACAGGCTGAAATATACTTTACTTCCAACTACCTATCAGAATGTCACAGATCAGCAGGTGGATATGCCATAGCAATTATTCAATAATGATTTTTAAGGAAAAGGATTGTTATTCTGTAGAAATGTGGGGACTGATAAAACCTAGT